GACCATTATCCCGTGTGGCCCCAACATGTATTATAACTCTTATTCACTTAGTTACATGGCTTTCATCGTTCTATTAGGCCTCTAATTTTTCCCTTGCAAATTTTGATCAAATTTTATTGACAAACTTGTATCGCCCGTGTCCACGAAGATTTTCATCCTTTTCCAAATGTGACGGGCTTTTACCTGTTCTAAAATTCTCTTCTTTAAAATGACCCAAATTCACCCCAATATGGAATATTGCAGTCCCATATTGGACATTTTAATCTGCCCCGTGTGTATAATTTGTGAAAACTGGCAACTGAATCGTATGGCTTAGACTAGGGACCCAACCAAACTTTCAATTTAGGCGAAGGTTTTTCCCTGAAGGAAAAGTAGATACTATCAGTTCCTCGCTAGCTGAAGCCAATGCCCTCCGACCATAGTTTTCGCAGAATTGAGCGAAAAATCGATCAATATGGAAAATGTAACGGATTTCTAAAATAAAAAATAACACGTTCCATGCTTCACAGAGACTGTTGTTTGGAGGATGGGAAGAGGGCTGTTTTTCTGGAAAATAGCGATGTTTAGAATTTAATTTTCCCAGTTGTTTGAGTTCGAGCTGTACCTTTTCTTACACAAATCTGCATAACAAATAAATCAGTTCACCGTTTGCATGTGGGCGGAATAAGTTTCCCGGACCGAAACCAATAGAAAACATCGCTGGTGCAGAATTTTGTTGCCATTGCAAATTCAGCGTTTATATTATCATCATCATAATCATGTGGTGTGTTTTCTCCTACTGACCATGAGCCAGCTATATCATTCAGAGGGAAATAATGTGTGTATGTGGAAAACAAAAATCAGTAAATGTAGAATGCCTTCGAGATGTTTTTGTCTTCTCGAAAAGCAAAACGCAGACATTCATCGATTTTTAAGCGTTTAACTACTTCCTCCTTTATATGCATGATTAGTTACACAAGAAAAACCGAGAAACCCCTCATTGGTTGTGGAGACAAAGAAACTCATTTGATTGGTTAGTTTTCTACTTCAAGTGACTCCGTTGTTGAATAGATGTAGTGGAGCTTGTTCTTCAGGCAAAATTTCCCATTTATATGTGATGATTTCCCATTTTGCGAAGCTATCAGGTACAAACCGATCAATCCCTCTTCTCAGGTATCTCCTTCATTTGGTAATTTCTCTCTTCTGTGTCACACCCAGTGCATCTGTCCCCCTCTTCATTGTAATCTGATTGTAACATTGATCCGTTTCTGGGGCAAATCGGTTGAGTCACAGTTGGGTGGGGCTAGAAACGTGAACATATCTCAGACTAAGGTAAGTTTTTCAACCAAATATAACTGCTACTTAGCAACAAACGGCAAATGTTCTGAAAAGCTATATTCCTGGCGGCAATTGATTTGATGAGCGTAGAAAGTAACCGGATCGAGGAAGTAGAAAATAGGTATATTTTGCTACAAAGGTATGTACCGGGTTGACGTCCGATGATAGAGTGACTCGCAGATACCGAACCCCCAGATTCGCATCAGAACACAGGGCTAGGAAATCTACGTGTACTGCATAATGAATCATGAATCAATGGAAATACAACGGCATACCTCAAATTAGGGGCAACCCAGTCTGGACAAAACAATCGGTTCGATACAACAAGGACAAACGTGTCAGGAAAACACTCTTAGAAATCGAAGGAGGAATGTGATGTGGATATAGAGACAGTGCTATTTAAAGGGCGGTGAAGACCAATCACAGGGATGGGATAGCGAAGTGACACCAAAGTCGGAGGTGGGGGGGAGGAGACGACAGACCGCAATCGTAATCACGGTGTAATTGAGTGAATAGACAACGAACACGAGGAGGGTGTCTGGGATGGTTAAACACACAAGGCGGGTGGTAGCATGTGCCAAGGAATAACTGAATTGCGAGAAAGAATGAATAGTGACAACAGTGAAGATGGTAGGAGAATCACAGTGGATGGGTGACGAACAGGTGACCACAATAACACGAGACAGTTTCTATGTCGGGTCGAGATAATTGATACCGATAATGGATTGAGCGCAGAACAAGTGACGACAGTTACTACGACATAGTTTCATGTAGAGTGGAGATAATGGATTACGACAATCACCCCGACACAGTTTCCGTGTGGGGTGGAGATAATAGATTGCGATAACAGGTTGAACCAAGAAGGGGTCACGACAAATGAAAAACACAAAAGTTCCTATGTGGAGCGGTTAGGTAATCATAAGGGAAATACGGAAAAGCGCAAACTGAATGGCCGTGGAGGGAAAACGTAAGGAGTTCCGATCCGGTAGGCAAAGATCATCAAACTGGGAGTTGGTTAGGGCCGCGCATGGATTGTTGGGTTTTTAACAGAGTACAGGTAGGTCCAGTGTACGTAATTTCAATCATACAATAAAGCTTCTTACAGGTAAGTGCATCGCTGCTGGTGGCTAGGTCATGGATGTCTGGCTGTTCTCGACCGTGTGGCGGTTATCAGCTTGAGGTCTACTTGACGTCACTGAATTATTCGACTATTTTTGCAGAGTACATTATGTCTGCTGGGTTAATTGCACTGGATAATTCAGAGACTTGTTTGTTTGGTTTGGAACATTTTCAGAAGCTTCACATTGTCTAGATGGAAACTAGGACTAGAAGGGTTTTTATGACAATGAAATCAGTTCATATTTGTGGCATGAATACTGTCAGGTTACATGAACCAAAGCACATGAGTTTTCAAAGATTCACAGTTGGAATTTGATCCGCAAGGCATTGGGGTAACTGTAAAAACCTCAGTCTCTTTTTGGGCCAGTGTCCAATCAGTTGTAACTCCTGTTCTTGAGACACGTTTCACCGTAGTCACGAGAGGCCATTGAGTGTGACTTTCGTGATGGATGCTTAAAGTTAACCACTCCACGGGGCTGGATGTTTTGCCCACCCCTCCGAGAAACGAGTTTTAGACTTCGTGTTTAAGATAAACACAGACTATTGGTATTCACTTTCGAAGCATCGTTTCTCGAGTGTGGTTAACTATCCGATAGAGTAATCCTGATGTTACCCGGGATTTAATTGCCCGGTAGGACATATGCTGCAACTGTCGGCTGAGGGGATTTCTTTTGCGTGCTGTGTGGTCCGATGTAAATGATGTTTCAAAAGCGAAGGCGATCAAAATAACACCTGGATTTGGGGCATGAAAATCTTAACTAGGAGGTTCGGTCATATAGGTCCCGATCCTGGATAAAGGCATCTCGATCAGCGTAATTGATGGTTAGAGACACTGAGTGACATGGCTGAGTCTCTCAAACAGTGGCGCTGGCGTATCCCCTTAATCTATTTCGAAACCGTAATCTACGTGAACTCTCCATTTTCCTGTTAACAATGATTTCAAAATTACAATCTTCATTTTGATCTTTCATTCAAACGGACAGCCAAGAGATAGCAATAAAAACTGTCGCGCGAAGGTTTATCGTTAATTGTTACGTAAAAACCGGAAACAGAAACGCAGTAGGTCTCATTCACCGATTGAGGAGTAAATATCTTTGCGTGGAGTATACAGTTAGGGGAAAGATGAAAGTCTCGGGTACCTTGAAATTAGATTTATCTTGCCTGTTGAATGGTTCGCCGGGGTGTGGCCACGGAAGCATGCCTCAGTTACTTTAAGGCTCGGGTAAAGCNAGAGACCCAAGTGTTTCTGTATATCCAAAGAGACGGCCATCTATCCGCCCCCCCCCACCCCCAAAGCCTCAGTATGGTCGGGGGTGGGTGTCTTGGGTTATGGCTGTTTTCCTTTCCCTTACACCTCTGTGACTGCTCCTAAACGACCAAGCGTTTCAGATATCCTCTGCTGAGATTGTCTTACTCACTGCCTTCCATTGGCGCAGGTGTTTTCGCACCAAAGTGTGAAGGCGAAAAGCCAACATCCGGGGCTATAACCTGGTCGATGAACCAGTGGCAATTTACCTGGGATAGTTAGTTAAAAACCCTGATTATAAAGCAACCAGTAGGAGGCGTATAAACCACACATACACATTTGTGGTTTTGGTAGTGGTCACCGGCTCGATTGGGCATCGAGGTGTACTGGGCACCTGGGACGTTTGACCTCGTCCAAGGGGTGTATGACCCGATGAACTGGACACCGATCTCTAATGGATTGCGATTTTCACACACTGTTCCACTGCCTTGCGTGTCAGACTTTGGATAGCCGAAGACTCCGGTAGGGCGTTCGCTAAGAAAATTCACCTGCCTTCGCTTGGGCAACCTGGCAGTTTTCCGCCCACATGCAAATTGTGGAATTCTCTCGTTGTATGAAGGTTATTGTACTATGATTTGTACAGACGGTACACCGTCTGGATTCAAACGTATGTGAATAGCTCTCTCTTTCTCTATGTATCTGTGTGTAAGGAGTTTTACTCTGTTAGATACCCTTTTCACGCTGATGATACACGGTATGTCGAAGTGCATAAGTTTTATTTTTGCTCACGGTTTATATGAAAATCAACAACTGCTTTCACCAATCCCATTGGTAGTCATGGAACATAACCCTCTAGAACGGTTAGCTGTACGAACAAGAAGTGTTCGATCATTCAGTCATTTACTTCACCAACTCTATGTCGATTGAGGATTTTATTGATCTATTGACCTGGTGGATCATAGTGTCCGTTAAGGGCAAGTTTACGTCGTACAAACCCGGTTAATGGTTATGGACTAAGTATAGACGGAGATCAGAGAGTGAATCAGTTAGATTTCCATTGATTTGATAATGTGGTGAATCTTCTGAGGCTGCTTCACATCTGTCCTGTTGATTTTCATTGTTTTAAATTCGTTAATCTGAAATCTGTTCTGCACTACCGCGATGTGAGTGCTATCCGAGTTCAATATAGCCAGATAAGGTGAAAGTATCTGTCTTCTTGGAACCCCACAAACAATTCTGGGTATCCATGAAAGATTCCCATAAAATTATCAAAGGCCAAATAATGAAGTGAACAAGCTTGTTTTTGTAACTTTATCTTCAGGAGTTTATAGTTATTTTTGTGTTTATACCTGAGCAATCAAGAGGCTCTCGCAAAATTTCAACACCTGACCTATGAATAAACACTTCAAATAGTCATTCAGTTAAAAATGCGATGGAGTCCATTTCAAGGACTGTACTAATTCGAATTTTCTTATTATTACTGTGTGAATTTGTTCAGTGCAGCTTATGATGAAACTAATGGATGATTTGATTTGGTTGTATAATGAAGTTCGTCATCTACAGAGCAAATTAAGTGATACGGAAAGCCGGAAAGTACTGCTATACCGATTCGATCTGGTTGGGTCGTATCATCGGTGTGAATCCATCGACCTAACAGGGTATCGAACCTGGGACCTCTCAGGTAAAGCCCAAAGATATTGTCTACATGACGATTGGACAGCCGATCAGACCATTTTATCCTGTACTCAGGTTCGGATTGTTTCCACCCGAGTCATAACCATGGAACGTAGTGCTCGGATGAGTGAGATGTGATGTCCGCATTAGAATCGCAAAGATGGGCTGTGCTGTATCATGTCTAGGTAAAATAAAAACGATGTGATCAGTTACCCGATGTTCGAGCGCGTAGTATGCTGTCGCGTCCTACCGAATTGGATCTTCAATCGAATCGATATATTTGCATTGATGAGACCTAATCAGGTCTGATCTACTGTATAATGCTTTACAACTCACGCTTCATTTGTTCCGTACAGTTGGTTAAGTTTGAAGATCGCCAGTGACTGATTGTTTTATACGATCAAAACGTTAGCACTGTTAAATTACCTAAGTGTTTCACAAACAGGGTATTGCGATAAAATCCATACACATACCCTGATGTCTGTGAATCGGGATGGGTTTAACCAAAACGGTAAATATTTTTTTAAATAATTTTTTTTTCGATACTTCGGTTCGAAATAAAATATCCAAATAACCATCTCCTTTCATTTCAATACTCTTCATTCAGGTTCCTTCATCATATTTCGACTGTTGCTTACAATCGGTCTAGACTATTGGGCTATTTCGAACAGGCATCGATTACCGATACTGATCAGTGCCATTCTGATCATGAGTTTTACCGTGTTCACCGTGATGAATTTCGCCTTATTCTTTCGGGTTCTGGCCGCGGAAAAACGTGTTTTGTTGGAGTATAACAAACGCCACATGAACAACGAATCTCATTCGAACGGAGTTGTTCTCTGTCACGATGCAACAAAACCAGCCAAATCCGAATAAACTTCAGCCCCGTTCGCCTACTGCTCCCCCGGCCTTGGCACCCAGTTGTGCATCGCTCCAAACCACCGTCTCAAAGCAACCACTGTCTATCATGTTTTTAAATTGTACACAAAAGATGAACAAGCACCCTACCCAGTCTGTCGATCTCTTTCTGAGCTAGGCAGCAGCAATTTACCCATTCTTGATGAAACACAAAACGAGTTCAGTTTAACTGGCAACTGGTACAACCCATAGGATTGATTACCACACGCCACTATGCTTATTCTGCTTTTCTATCTGTCATTGTTTTTGATCAAGTCGTGCACAGCGATCGAGTTCTGTTATCCCAGTGCAGTCGGACTCCACGGAATCCGACCTCAAACCATTCCATCGTTTTGCCTTTTTTCTCTTTCTCTCCAACACATTCTGTTCTTGTGAAACTCTCTCGACAAACTTTCGATAACCACGCATTCCATGATGTGTCCGTGTCCGCCTCTCTTACCACAAACTCTCGTCGTTTCTGCAGTGGGGTATCAGATTCCCACATGTATAGTTGTGTAATCATGGTTTTTTAGGGCAATTGAACTCTCTAGTTTCGATATACTTGTATTTTTTTACTGCACAGTAACCAATGACTGTTTAAAGTGTTTCATTTCTTTCGACAAGAAATATGAGAGTTGTTCCTTTCATTCACTTCACTACTCTTTTGGTCGGCTCTCTTGTTTGCGAGAAAATCCCAACCCGTAGGAGATCCACATGGAACGCCTTGGGGACAGAACAACGTGACGAACGAGCTCGTTCTTAGTTTTTCATGATCATAACGGCCAAGACCATCAGCATCCGGATTTACAATCCCATTTTGTGACCAGAAGAAACTTTTGCAGACGCTTAACCTCCCCTGTCTCAACTCATCCTCCTCAGCACCTGTGCGACCACCTCAACGTTTGACACCGTGATCCATTTTATACGCACGCATACACTCGGAGCCGGATCTGAACCATTAAGACAATAGGCATATATATATACATATATATATATATATATATTGCCCTGATGGTTCATATTCGGCTCCGAACGTGTATGCTAGAGTTCTGTAAATAACGGTTTGAATTGATGTTTCCGCAGCTCCGTTTGCATAATTTCATTTTCATTTGTTCGTCGATCTTGCCAACTTGATCACAAACGTTTCAAATACCGATTGAGGTGATGTTCTTTATGCATTAGCTGTCCCAGCGCTCAAGAATACCTGTTTTTCTAAATGGGTTGTTCAGTGGTCCAGAGAGTCAGTTTATATACGATCGGCTGATATTCTTTAACTTCTTACCGATGGAAGATGAGGTAAACGTGAGTAGCCTGACGGTTTGTCTTTGTTCGATCAACTTAGTGTTACTGCCCTCCTGTTGTGACGTGTGACACGGCCAGAAGCCGTTGCGTCAATTGGGCCCTTGTACGGCAGTGTAAACTCGACCTATGTCGATATGCAGGCTGCGTTTTACGATGGATGCTAAGCTTCAAAACACCTTTTCCATTTTTGGTGCCCGCGGGATCGAAGACTCGGATGTTTTCGAAACGGAATATATGTCCATCACGACGAGACTGCGCCTTAGCGTAGTGTGATGGCTTGCGCGCCTCAATGATCCTGCGAGCTATACAGGATGGCTCCTCACAGCCGCAGATCCAATCATGCCTGAAAGGTCAAGGGGTTGAGGCCAGACGAAGACCAGTCTCACAAGGCCAGCTGCTTGGGCACCACCTGGCTTCCTTCTTCTATCCACACGCCCCTGGAGAGGCCACTCCAGCAAATAAACACGGTGAGGGGCAGTTTACCGGTCGAAAAAACCCCGCTAGATGGACGTAAGAGCGGGGTACCTGGGGCTTCCTTTCGATGGTGGGAGAAGTCTTCGTACCTCACTGGGCAGCCCCCAGCCAATAAGGTGCTGTCCCGTCCACGTTCCGCTTGTTTCATTGGGTGCATGAGGCTAAGGGCTGATCCCAAAAAGCGGACCGATAATCAACGTACCAGCGAACAACAAACTTAACCGAAATTCAAAGGCCTTGCGTGACAGGTCTCTAGGAATTTCCAAACGGGTGCTTCGTTCACGTTGCCGCGTTGGATTTACCCTCCACTGCTTTGTGGGTCAGACTTTTGAGTCAAATGCTCCGGTTAGGGTTCCCAAAGAAAAGCCACTTCGTCGGTGTGGGCTACCGCGAAGTATGTCGTAAAGTCTTAGGTACCCATTTGGAAAACCGTTTTTCTCAACCATCCACTCCCAAACATTGGGGGATGCATTCTGTTTGCGCCACCCATGGGATATCAATTAGTGTTCAACTAATAAAACCAACCACTCAGAGGCTACGAGAATTTTGAAGTCAAAATCTCCTCTTCATTTAACCGCATTTATTGTCCGCACAGTACCAGATGAGTCAAGAAGCTGCCTTGGCTAGAACCCTTGAAACCTTCCATTTAGATGTATGCTGTCTCCGAATCGTGCATATAAGGCCCTACTTCAATCATCTCCCTGCGGTCTCCAAATCCAACCTCATCCTCACGCTTCACTCTCCATGTGTCAGGCGAATCAGAAAGGCTACTTGCTGGTTCATCCGCAATCCCAGCTAACCGGACTGACAACAGAGAACGCCTACTCCAACTATGCGCTGACTACGGATTGTTTCTGTCAAGCTCGAACTTTTCTCACAAAAACGGCACCGCCTTACATGGAGACCACCAACATCTGATTCATATTCAGCAACGCCGTCTTGATCGATGGGCAGAAAATTATAAGCCTCAGTTCAGTTGGCCCTCGTCAGCACAAGACCTCTCTGTACCCGGTTAAACTGTGTGAATACTGCCAGTTGAAATCAGTCCTCCATCTGAAATAGAGGTTCCCCGACAAATAAGCTATTTCAAAACGTATAAGGCTTCGGGCCCCGACGGGCTGTCCCCATCTGTTTTTAAGAATGGAGGCTCAGCCTTCGTTTTGGAGTTAACAAAACTCCTGGGCTCACTGTGGGAGAGGGAAGAAGTGCCAACTGAATGGTGTGAATGGGTGATCATACCGACTTACCAGAAAGATGACAGATCCTCATGTGAAAACCACAGAGGAATTAGTTTAATCAACATCGTCTCTAAACTACTTGCCGGCATCATACTCCGTCGATTGTCTGCCGCTAGTTAAGAGTGCGCGTGAGAACCAGGCTGGTTTTAGACCTGGTCGAGGTTATATACACCACATCTTCACTCATCGTCAGATCCTAGAACACAAACACTCCTTTCGTAGACCCACCGTTTCCATCTTCCTCGACATGAAAGCGGCTTTCGACTCAGTCGACCGCTCTAAACTCTGGCGCTTCTGTTCCCTAAAGGGTGTGCCCGAGAAGTTTATTACAATCCCTCTACAATAATAGCCGAAGCTGAGTTCGAGCTTACGGCACTTTCTCACCCGAGTTCACTACAGAAAGTGGTGTTCGACAAGGTTCCCCTCTCTCTTCGTTTCCATTTAGCTTCGTGATAGATTTATTTCTTGGAACAGCCCTATCCTCTTGCGAGGATAGTGGCATCGACTTACTCCCGGATGGAAGACTGTCTAATCTCTAGTATGCAGACGACGTTGTGCTAGTAAGTGAAGATCCAGGTAAGTTGCAAGCTTTTCTGGATAGTTTGAGTGCTAGAGTAGCCATGTTCGGTATGCACCTTAAAAGTGTAAAATGTTGCTCCAAGATTGGTTTGGTTCAGTCCCCAACCTCACTCTGACTGAGGGAGTAGTGGAGGAAGTAGAAAAATGTTGCTATCTGGGCAGCTATATCTCACCTGGTTGACACATCACAGATGAACTGTTGGCGCGCATACGGAAGGCTCGGTTGGTATTTGCCAAAGGGAGACATCTGTGGCGTCGTCGTGACATCCGTTTGTCTGTTAAGAGTCAAGTACATGCTGCAGCAGTTCGGCCCGTTCTGCGCAGTGGGACAGAGACTTGGCCACTACGGGAACAGGATAAAAATAGATTGTCGGTGTTAGAACACCGCTGTGTATGTCGCATTGCACGAACCTGGTGGGACAGCCGGTCGAGCAATGCTGAGGTCTGGCGTAGAGTTTTAGGTAATCGCGATCGTCCCCTGGAGCAGGTAGTCGACCACCATAGATTACATTGGTTGGGGCTTGTGTTACGCATGTCACCGAATAGATTGCCAAGGCGAGCGATTTTTGCCGAGGCAGGGAGTGGTTAGGAAAAGGTCAAGGGTGGTCAAACGAAGATCTGGTACGAGGGTATGAAAACCCTACCCAAGAGACTGGGTCACATAGGCCCCGTTAGGCTCCCTGGCTGGGGACCCAGAGATCGTGGTCACCGATGGTTAGAGACACTGAGCGATATGGCTGGTTGTCGCAAACAGTGGCGCTAGTGCATCCACTCATTCTTCTCTTAACACCAGTTTATATGAATTCTCCATCTTCCGTTTGAATTTGGTTTCAACATTTTAATATTCCCTCTGCTGTTTTGTCCAACTGTACAACCAAAAGACAGCGACCAAAACCGACATACGAAAGTGCATGGTTAATCAAAGTGTCAGATCTGAACAACGTTCGGAGTGTATCGAAAAGTCGATGCGCCGTGTGTTTTATATAAGTTGTAATTTCGAAAATATAGCGATGTTGGTACAGGTGAAAATAGGCCGACATTTCGGTTACCTAGAGTAACCTTTATCAAGGCGATTTCGCAATGCATGGTTAATGGCTGTAAAAAACGGAAGCCGAATATGTCCCTCTTTGTTTGATGACTTATGATGTGTGATAGAACATCGCATATGATAGTGGCCACTATGTGTTCGTCCACACAACTTGCCAATCTCCCTATGTGATCGAAGTAATGTTTATTATTGTTTTAGCAGTTGATCCCGTGGACATTTATCTTCCATATACATATATATATATATATATGTATATATATATATATATATATATATATATATATATATATATATATATATAT